TAACATAACTCTATCTAATCACTTATGCCACTATAGCTCGTAAGTACAGTAACAGATTTTTTATATTTAAGTCATAATAGTTGTGGCAAATAAGCTGCAGCAAGCCGGCTAATTTGAAACACTAATAAAATCACGATAAAGTCAATACAAAACTAACATAGCCCTATATAAATCACTTATGCCACTATAGCGAGTAAGTACAGTAACAGATTTTTTACGATAAATCCAATATAAACTAACTAAACCACTTATGTCACTACAGCTCGTAAGTACAGTAACGGCAAGTCACTGTACAAATCACAATATAACTTATAAAACTAACGCAATCCTATCTAAATCACTTACCTTGTCACAATAGTCTGTTAGTACCTGGTTTTTTTTACAGTAAATCACGATAAATTCAATGTAAAACTAACGTAACCCTATCTAAATAACTTATGTCACTATAGTTCGTAAGTACAGTAACAAATTTTTTGCAGTTAATCGCTATACAAATCACGTTTAATCCAATACAAAACCAACATAACTTTATTTATTATACACAATAGTCGGTAATTACAGTAGGATTGTTTACAGTAAATCACTATATAAATCACGACAAATTTAACTAATATATCCTATATAAATCACTTATGCACTATAGCTCGTAAGTACAGTAACAGATTTTTTTACAGTAATCACTATACAAATCACGTTAAATCCAATCTTACTAACATACGCTGTAACCATATCTAAAACACTTATGCTATCACAATAGTCAGTAAGTACAGTGACAGATTTTTTACAGTAAATCAATATATGATCACTAACATAACCTTATTAAAATCGCTCGCGTCACTATAGCTCGTAAGCGCAATAACAGTTTTTTACAGTAAATAACGATAAATCGATTCTGGGTCAAAATCCCGAAACAGATTCCCGAAGAACATAATACTGACTAAATCAGCCGGCATTATAGCTAGTGCTGGCTAACTTTGTCGGTATTATGTCCTTTCAGGAATCTGTTTTTCGGGTTTGACCCAAAATCCGATAAATCAACATAATCCTATCTAAATCATTTTATGTTAATAATAGTCTGTAAGTACGGATGTTTTACAGTAAATCACAAGATAAATCTATTAAAACTAACATAACCCTATTTAAATTACTTATGTCACCACAACAGTCGGTAAGTACAGCAGCAGATTTTTTATAGTGACTATACAGATCACAATATAAACTAACCCATCCAAAATCCACAATAGTCGGTAAGTACATTAACAAAGTTTTTATAGTAAATTAATATAATCCTATCTAAATTACTTATGCCACCACAATAGCCGGTAAGTACAGTAACAGGTTTTTTACAGTAGATCACTATACAGATCATATAAATCCAATACAAAATACCTAATCCTATCCAAATCACTTATGTAGGCGGTAAGTAACAGATTTTTTACGGTAAATACTATACAAATCCAATACTAAAATAACCCTTAAATAATTTATGTCGCTATGTCGTTATAGCTCGTGAGTATATTATAGTAACAGATTTTTACAGTAATTCATTATACAAAATTATATTCTAAAAATTACTTATGCCACTATAGTTCGTAAGTACATCATTATATAAATCACAATAAATCCAATATACAAAATTAACATAACCTTATATAAATCACTTATGTCACAATAGTCGGTTAGTAGTAACGATTTTTTACCAATCATTCTAAAAATTACAATAATTCCGATACAAACCTAATATAACCCTGTCTAAATTACCTGTCACCATAGCGAGTAAGTACAATAATCGAGTTTTTACAATAAATCACTATAGAAATCACGATAAAGCTAATATACACTTACTTAAAACACTTATATCATTATAGCTCGTAAGTAAAAATCGCGATAAATTCAATGAAAAACTAACATAACCCATCTAAAACATTTATGTTACCACAATAGCCTGTAAGTAGGTTTACTATGCAAATCACGATAAATTCAATACAAGAACTAACCCTATATAATTACTTACGCACCACAATAGTCGGTAAGTTCAATGACAGATTTTTTACAATCACTATATAATTCCAATACAAGCTATCATAACCCTATTTAAATCACTCATGTCACCATAACAGTCGGTAAGTACAGAACAGAATTGTTATACAAATCACGATAATTACGATGCAATAATTAATTGTATGTTAACCCACGGTAGACGGTACATATTATTTATGTTTAAATCTTAGCTCTTGATTATAGTTATATTTATTATTTTCAACGTTCTATTAAGATTTGAGATAGAATTTGATAACTGGACAAGCGATAATCATGACATTGATGAATTAATTCAATGTATACAACTTAAAGCAAAGAAATTTAAAGACATTATTGAATGGATACCCTTTAATAAATTTACAAATATAAAATATCTTGCTAAAGGGGGCTTTGGTACTGTTTTTAGGGCAGCATGGATTGATGGATATATTATAGGACTTGATCAGAAGAATGAATGGGAGAGAAGTTCGCAAATAGACGTTTGTTTAAAAAGTCTTGATAATTCTAAAGATATAAACCGATTTCTAGAAGAAGTAAGCATTGTAATTCATTGTCGCGGCTGAAACTTTAATGTGAAAGTTTTAATTTTTGCAGGTGCATTTTTTTTAGTTAGATTAAGATTTAGAGCTTAAGTGGATTTTAATAGCACCCATTTCCAGCTTTAGCCGCGATATTTATTATTATTGTATAGTAATCTTATTTATCCCTAATATTTTAGATTAAAAACCAACATGAGCATGGGGGCAACTTGGCAATTGCGATTTATGGAATAACTAAAAACCCAAAAGATGGTAATTATATGATGGTTATGGAGTATGCAAAGCAAGGAAGCCTTCGAAAATTATTAGATAGCAAATATAATGAATTAGATTGGACCTCTAAGTTAGCTAATTTATATTTCATAGCTGATGGACTTAATACAATTCACAAGGCCAAATTAGTGCATAAGGATTTTCATTCCGGAAATATTGTTAATCAAAATATGTTTAGTCCCTACATTACTGATTTTGGTTTATGTAAACCAGTATCACAAGACTTAAATTCTAATGAACTTTTTGGTGTGCTTCCCTATATTGCACCAGAGGTATTATATAAAAATGGAAAGGAATACACTCAATATTCAGACATTTATTCATTTGGAATAATTATGTCAGAAGTTTTTACTGGATATCCACCATATTATAATATTCCACATAATAGTGAACTAGCAACTAAAATTTGTCTGGGTTATAGACCTGAAATCAGATGTAAAGTTCCTAAATTACTTTTGGATATGATGAATAGATGTTTAGACGCGAATTCTCAAGAACGACCAACTGCAGAAGAATTAACCAATATGCTGAACCAATTTCGCGATGATTTGAAATATGAACAAACTGAGTTATATAAACAAATTAAAGAAATTAAAGACTCAGAAAAAACTTCCAAAATACATGATCAAATTAAGTTGGCACGACTCAACTATCAGACAAATCCACAAACTATTTATACAAGTCAACTTTTGCATCTCCCAAAACTCCCTCAACCAGGTAATAATATTATCTTTATCAAAAATTAGTAATATGTTACTAATGTAAAATTTTTTGAATCTGTGAATATAGTAAATTCAGGTAATTTTTTATTTTCTTAATTTGGATTTAAGCAGTAGATTTAGTATATTCATATGTATATATTTTAGCAACTCAACCCGTTGATTATAAAATTCCCGATGGTAAGTAATCCATTCGATTTACTTATGATTAAACAAATTTATTACTTATTTTTATATTGGTATCTAGATTCGTAAATCAAGTAAAAAAGAAGTTTTAGAATGGGTGCATGCTATTATTATAATTTAGTAATTTGATTACATCTCTTTATATATGTACAGTATATACAACATTTATATATATATATTGCATTTTATATATCTGAAGAGCTCTTACAAAAATTAATTTCCTTAAATTAGATTTACATGCATTATAGTTATTCGAGGCTAGGTTCTAATTCAGATATTTAAAACGGCTACTTCAGTTAGGTAGCTCAGAATACAGTATATGTGCATGTTTAATCAGCTTACACAAGTATTTTATAGCATAAAATAAAATTTGACAAGGAATCCTTTATTTTTTTAAAAATACCTTTAATCAATTGCTTTGACACTTAAAGCTATTAATCCATTTAATATAATTCTAAGAACATTTTCATGCGATTTACTAATGACCGAAAGTAGTATAAAACTATTATGAGAAATTTTGGCTATTGCCATCTCTGACATACGCACTCACTATAGTTGTTAGGCAAACCCTTTATGCAAAATGACGAAAGGCGAAACCTAAATACTTTCAAATTGACGAAACCTTAGTACTTTCGTTAAATATATACGTGCTAATGATGAGGGCTGACCCCGGCCCATCGGCCGGGCGGGCCGAGGGTCGGCCCACACCTTCACGGGCCGTGGCCGATTAAAATAAGACTAGAGTTGTAAATAGTAAATTACCATCAATGAGCTAACAAGTAAATTGATGTAATTTACCAAACTTTTACTTTTGGTAAGTTGTCGAATTAGATTGGAATTAATTGTAGATTCAGGCAGCATTAAGTCAAAGTTAAAGAAAAGGTAGAGTAATATCGGAACATTTTGGGATGTGGATAATCAATCAACACAAAACACGAGCATTAGTGGATTAGTGGTGGCGAATGATCGTGGCAATCACGTGATGATCGTCGCAAAATATTTGTCTGTGATTCGCTGTTATTTTAAACTATGAAAATCAAATTCTTGTTCTATACCGATACTGTAGTACCGTTACGTACATATGTCGTACGTAACATACGTATACGTTACGTTCGTACAAATAAAAAATTTATATTTTTTCTAACTTATACATACACGTACTTAACTAATTTATTATATCTAATATGAGTATTATATTTTTTTTCTAACTTTAACGAAAGTAATAATAAATTTTATGTCTATTTTAGTTTAATAGAAAAGCAAGTTTTGAGTTACATGGGGGATTCCAGGTTTTTTGCTGTGTTTGAGCTGTCAAAGCTTCTTGACAAGCCTTAGTTTCTTTTATTAAGGTCTGTCTTAGTCTTTTATATGTATTGTAAAAATTATCATTTTGAATATTATCTGCGATAATATTTATTAGAGACTCAAACATTTTTTTATCCTCTTCGAGTTCAATATTTCTGGAGTATATTAGGTCCTCACAATTATTAAAACTTAGTTCCATATCGCAGTTATATTTGTCTAGTTCATTAGTTGAACTTTCTGATTCATTTATAGAATTAATTGCATTATTCCAGGGATTGCTTATAGAATTAATACTTGTGGAGGTTTTGCTAAATGAAAGAAGTGGATAGTCATGTCTTCTTTGCATATTAGCATATTGGGGAAAGAATTTAGAATTTTTATCCGCATATTTCTAAGGCTATTTGGTAAACTCCGGATTCATTTTCTAAGTTATCAATTTCCCTCTTAACAAGATGTTTACATACCAAGTAAGTATTATTATTAATATACGCAGGACATAAACAAATCCAATCATTAATATTTGTTAAATAATTATTTTCAGAGTCTATTTCTTTATCTAATGCTTTTTTTCATTCGCCTTTAAATGAATTCCACCAGGAGGGATGATCTCGTTTATTATTATATCTTTTCCAAGTATTTATTTGATCTGGAATCAAGTCTCTTGTTAGAATTTGCATTAGGCAGTCTAAACGAGGACAATTACAAGTATATTTATAAACATGTTTTATAACACGCCAATGTGATTTAACAAGCATCGTTATCCTTGCTAATGGAATTGCATTAGGAAAAGAAGCTTTAGCAAAAAGAATCCAATCAGCTTTATTATACCAATTGGACCACAAGTACCCCCATAAATGAACCAGATTTTTATTTTTACAATAAATATAAATTTCTTTAACACTTTCATAATAAATCTTTTCTAAGGTAAGAAAGATTTCTTTATTAAATGGTATTAAAGGATATAATAATATATGCTTATGGATTATAGCTAAAATTAGTGAATTAGTGGTAGTGAATGATCATGGCAATCACGTGATGATTATTGCAAAATATTTGTCTGTGATTCGCTGTTATTTTAAACTTATGAAAATCAAATTCTTGTTCGATTATTATCTAACTTAAATACCCTTATGTGTAATTTTACTTCATATGTATTTCAAATCATCTTTCTTCAGTATAAGACATGTTATTTTTTTTTTATTAAATTTATGAGTTTGATATTTTAATAATTACAACCTTATAAAATTCGAAGACTTCGCATTTTTCTTCTTAGCAACTTTATAAATAAATTTAATATATATATATACTTATGATCTTTTTATTTTCATAAATAATGTAATAAGAGTTGAGATCTCGCGGCCTAGTGGTCTAGGCACCCAACTCTCTATAAGCAGGTTTCTGGTTCAAGTCCTAGTAAGTATATTTATCTATGAATATTTGGAAGTATCTGCCGTGGGAAGTCCAAGTGAATACAGGTCTGGATTAGAAATTTCTTGAAAGAGGTCCATTGTGGAGTAGTTGGCACTATGTGTAACAGGGTTGTTACAGAAGGTTCTATTATACAAAAGTTGTGCGTGTAAATCTGTGATTAGCAAGGTAGCACTAACAACCCCAAGGCGAAATTGGGATCTTGTTTGGGAGAACAACTAGATAGTAACCAGAATTGGAAGTAGTAAGAAATGTGGTGAACATAAAGGGACCTGTGATAAAGAATTGGTCTTACCAGATTTGGAACACCTTTGGCACCTATACTGCTACTAGATTGAATAGAATTTCCTTATATAGAGTAAGTTGGCAGGTGAAAACTTGAGATATACTTAAAATGAACAAGACACAGCAAGGTTATACTCAACTGGAAGTACTTGTCTGGCCACCAGGTCACATGAGCCACCTTAGTTGTACATTCTTTGGCTACTTCGATAGTATGACTAGAGGAAGATCCTAGGATGAGATCTGGAAAAAGGAACAAGTACGAAACAGAACACAGGAACACCAACTTTAAAATACCAATATATAAT